CAGGCATAACAATGATTGTGAGGATGGCACAGGACCGGGCAGTGTTTTGTTCTGTTGTACATAGGGTTGCTGTGAGTTGGAACCAACTCGACGGCATGTAACAAGAACAACAATATGTATGTGTGTATATATGTGTGTATATATATGTATGTATATATATGTGTGTGTGTATACACACACACACACACACACACGGAGGGAGAGAGAATTATCTCAAGGAAATGGTTCATGCAGTTGTAGAGACTGGCAAGTCTCAAGTCCATAGGCTGGAGACTTCTCCTTACTCACATAGCTGAAGAGGCTGACAAATCCAAGATTGTCAGGTTAGAAAGCAGGCCACTGGCTCACAGGCCACGGAGGCCAGTGAATCCCAAAATTGACAGGTAAGCTAGTAGCTCAAGCCCCAAGAACCAGAGGTCACATGATGACGAGCCACATGCAAGATCCAGAGGGAGAGCCTTGCTGGAACATCCATTTATAAATGAGAGGCAGGCCACACCCCCAAGGAAACTCTCTTTCAACTGATTTCCGATAACAGTCTCATTATGGAGTTGATTACATTCTTATATAACTGTAAAGCCACTGAGACTCATGGCCCAACCAAGATGACATACAGCTTAAACCATCACATACTCTCCCTAAGTTTGTTTGTGAAGTTAGGGCTTCCTAAGCAAATGAATGGGGCCCTGGTGGTGCAGTAGGTAAGAGCTCAGGCTGCTAATCAAAAGTTCAGCAGTTTGAATCCACTAGCTGCTCCTTGGGACCCTGTGGCACAGTTTTACTCTCTTCTGTAGGGTTGCTGTGAGTTGGAACTGATTCAGTAGCAACGGGTTTTGTTTTGGTTTTGGAAGCAAATGGATAGTGTTAAAAGAGGATGCTTATGTAAAACTAAACTGTTTTCAACTATTGTTGTTGTTAGGTGCCGTTGAGTCGGTTCTAACTCATAATGACCCTATGTATAACAGAACAAAACATTTCCTGGTTTTGAGCCATCCTCACAATCGTTGCTATGCTTGAATGCATCCTTACAGCCACTGTGTCAGTCCGTATCGTTGACGGTCTTCCTCTCTGTTGCTGACCCTGTACTTCAGCAAGCATGATGTCCTTCTCTAGGGAGTAGTCTTTCCTGATAACATGTCCAAAGTCTCACTGTCCTTCTAAGGAGCATTCTGGCTGTACTTCTTCCAAGACAACTATATTGAGTATTTAATATAAACATAATACACATATATTTTAAGCAGAGGTGAGCTGAGAGAACTTCATTGTAGTAATTATAAATAATTTCATTCTATTAATTAGAAAAATAATTCTAGGTAACAATTGATTAGTTTAAGATCTTTAAAAAGTATTTCTTTTAAAATAAATGTCTTATAGTTCATATTTTACTAATTTATTTCTTACTCCCCTACTAGACTCAATATAGAAATTTTAATCTTATGTAGTTAGTAAAGTTGTGAAATAAGCAGTTATTGCTATGAGTCAGTCTGGCCAAATTTAGTTAGTTACTAATCAGAGGATTTTCTTCAGAATAAGAAAGAAAGGGAGCTTGATAGTCTAGTAATAAAGTGAAGTTTAAATTTTTATTTGATTGAAGTGTTTATTTTTGTTCTCTTATCTATCCAGTGATATATTTTATCATATATACCATTTCATTTTTGAAATCCAGTCTGAGAAATACGTACTGGAAAACTTCTATAATTTCCAGTTTAAGTTATAAACTACTGGGATAATTTCAGTGCTTTTGAAATGGTAAAGGCTATCAATGTTAGTTTCATATTTAATTAAGGATCAGAAATAATGCTGAAATTAATGAGGCACATGATAAGCATGTAGAACATGCCCAGTAAATGTCAAGAGTGAACATACCCCTTCTGTTAGAAATATTCCATTGAGAATTGCTTTTTATCAGATTCTGTTTTCTTTCTTTCTGTGGTGTGTTTCTTTGATCACCTCTTCTTGCCTTTTAAAAATTTCTTTTAATCCCTAGAGGAAGAAACCCTGAACTAGAGAAAAGTCTAGTCAAATTCTTTCTAATTCCTTAGAGGGCATTGTTCAGTTGGCAACCAGGGGATCTATTTCATGAATATATGAACTCAAAGTTACTTTCCTATCTCTTCCATTGTGGATTCATTTAATTTTATCCATATGGCTGCTTCTTAAGAATCAAAATAAGTCCAGGAAAATTATCAAGTGTAGGAATTTTTTCTTTTTAGTGTTTCTTAGTAGAATGAAGATTTAACTTTAGAGCATGCTTAGTCTCTTAAGCCTTTTCTTTTGTATCTATGGAAAGCTTTAAAAATATAGTGATTTCTCAGCCATGTTTTGTTTCCTGTGGATATTTAGACACAGATGACATTTGGACAAAGATACTTTTATCATCTCCTTTTTTAAATTATCTTTTTATTTGTTCATTTTTCTAAATGCAGACTAATCCTATACAAGCTGGGAGGCAATGAGTCCTTAATATTTTCTTGCTAACCTCAATTTAACAATTAGAAAAAGTTTTTAAAAATCTGAAACATTTATCTCCCTCAAAAGTCTTGGACGAAATGGACAGTAAGGAAAATTCATATACTGTTTTGAAGTACCTTCAATGTGCCAGACACTATCTTGTGGGCAATACTAGGAGGAATAAAGGCAGGATACCCAAATCAGTGTGTTCTAAGACTAGTCGGGTAACAGACACATAAATGAATATCAAACTTGTGTGTTAGATAACGATACTGAGACATGGTAGAGAGGAGCATAAAGGTGAGACAGTTTGACCTTCCTTGGAGAGTTGGGGTGGGACAAGGAAAGTTGCCTGAAAGTGTTGACGATCATGATCTCTTGAAGGATGACTATGGTTGAAGAGAACATTCTAGGCAGAGAGAACAGCCTAAGAGATAGATGGTTTGGTCTGTGGTTGCTTTTCTTCTGCCGCCTTGAATTGAAGAGCAAAGCAAATTGGGCAAGTTGGGTAGTGTTTCTTCAACTTCTACTTACTCAGATCTTTGAAGGGTAGTTTTGTTTTTCAGTTTGAAACATTGCGAATTATTCGAACAGATACTTCCTCTGTTACATATTTTAAAGCCAAATAGAAACAGTTTTTGAATTGGTTATTGTTTTGTATTATCCTGGTTTATGAAATTTGAGAATTAACTGTAGTACATTTAAGATTGACATATGAAATGAATTGTCAAAGTAGTTTAATTTTTTAATTGTCAAATTATGTCTCAAGTATTTTGCAGAATGGTAGAATTCATTTGGGTTTGAGTTAAGTTTGATTTTGTTGCTTTAAATGTAAGAATGTCTTATGATTATAGATAGTAGGAACTTATCAGAAATATTAAGCCACTCATTTTAACTACTCTCATTTAGCTAAGCAATTTCTTCTGAAGTGGTATGCATTATATAACTTCATACATATTTTCAGACTTATCCTTCATTCTTTTAGTTTAGTACCACTACCTTCTGGTAAAGACGTAATGAACATAATTTTAATTACTATATTACAGTGTAGGAATACTGTTAGATTAATAACTGGCAGACTATTTTCTAGTTCTGCTGTAGTAATTTATCTTTTGAAATTACCATCACCAGGGAAGATAAAGCTTCTCTACCATACATCTAATATATTGCTTCTAAAATAAAATGAATACATATAGACAGAAGAAGGAATTTTGGACTTCATTAGGAAAGTAGGATAGAGAATCTATTTTGGATTATCGAATACAGCACCAAAGCAATTGACATCTTAATTTTCAAAAAAAAAAAAAAATTCGTCTTTTGATTTTGTTTCATAAGATTTAATTTTTAATTATGTTGCTGCTAAAAACATTCTCTGAGGTATTGTGCTTAGATGGTTAAAGACATTTGGGGAGAGAAACACTTAAGATGACCATTAAAGCTTATTAAATAATTGCTTTTATTTCAGGTATCTCTTTTTCACTCACTTTACTTTCTTTAGTAGAAACAGTATATTTATTTTATATTGCTGCCATAAAAAATCACATAAATTTAGTGGCTTAAGTCAACACAGATTCGTTATTTTATAGTTCTGTAGGTCAGAAGAGTATAAGTCTCACTGGAATAAAATCAAGGTATAAATGGCCATATTCTGTTCTGGAGGCTCTAAGGGATAATTCATTTACTGCTTATTTGGGTTATTGGAAGAATTCAGTTATTTGTGGTTTGTAGGACCAAGGTCCCCATTTTCTTAGAGGCTGTAAACTGAGAGTTATCCCAGCTTTTAGAGGCCACCATATTCCTTGGTTCATGGACCTCCTTCTTCCATCTTAGAAACCAGCGAATAGCCAGTCAAGTTGTTCTCACATTGCGTCTCTCTGGCACTCTGTTCTTCAGTTGTCTTCCACTTTTAAGTGTGATTAGATTGGCCCAGCTAGATAATCCAGGATAATCTCCCCATCTCAAGGTACTTAACCTTAATCACATCTGCAAAGTTCCTTTTGCCATGTTAGGTAGCATATTCACAAGATCTGGGGCTTAGGACATAGCCATCATTGTAGAGCCACGGCTCTGCCTTCCACAAACAGTGACATTGACTGGTGCCTGGCTTTGCTGGATCAGTTTTCTTTTTTTTTGTTCATAATGCCTCTGACCTCTTCCTCCTTGCCTCAGTGGATACAAAAGAGAAGGTGTTGGCATTCAGGACCACTACAGTTCTAAACTGGGTATAATACCTATAGGGAAACTACAGGGGAAAGAGATTCTAGGAAGACTGAAAAAAGAAAATATGATTTTAGAGTATTGCTTTGAAAAAGACAGTCTTGTATAATTTTCTTGAGTTTATATTAACTGGTGCTAATCCTTAGTATTGAGGTCTATAGTTATTTACACAGCAGCAGGAGGTAAACTATTACAGGTAGTCAGTAAGGAGGGTCTTAATTTAGTATCAGGATGTTATAAGATAAATATTGACTCAGCGATAACTTATAATAACTTACATAGATTTTGATAATGGAAGACACTGAATCTTAATATCTTTTTTTTCTACCTAGATCATCACAAAGTATGTATATGAGCTCCTAGAAAAGGACTGCAATTTAAAAAAAATCTCTATTCCAGTAAGTCAAACTTTTACAAATATTTATACTTTCAAGTAAAATAGTTTCCAGTTCAGAAGAAAGTTTTTGTTTTGGGTTAACCTGATAACTTTAAATGTGAAGTTCTAGCGTGTTGATATTGATAAAGATAATTTTAAATGCCTGTGGGTATGCCTCATCTCATTGTGCACAGTAGTTTGTTGAAAGTAATACTCTACAGTGTAAAGGAAATACTGATGTTCAGTCTTTTTTGAAAATGATGATGCAGTTAAAAGGACTACCATTCCTTCTACCCTGTCTCCTTTCACTGATACAATTTATTTTCACTTATTTATTTGAAGAAAACTAATGTATTTTTTCTTGCATTAGACAGAGACAACTTCACCATCTTTTTAATTTCTTGGTTTTTTTTCTTTATTATATGATTGTTTCTATGTTATTTGCTCTACATATTCCCAAATTTATTCCTGTGCTTCCTGTTTTATAACACTGTTCCTTTCCTCTTTAGCGGAACACTTTTTTTGAAATTTTGCATGATTTGCCATTTCAGAGTGAAAAAGTTTGAGATTTGTTCTCAGAATTGTCGGTTTTGTTTTTTAATGTAAAACATGAAATATTAAGCTTTCAAATATAGAAATAGTAATCTTGTATGTAAAATGGTGGTGGTGGGACTAAATGATCTGTGCTGTCCTTGAAAATTCTCTGATTTTGTGATAAGTAGGAATCTGGACCACCACTCATCTGTCAGTTTGTCATACTCTGGTGGTTGTATGTTGCTGTGATGCTGGAAGTTATGCCACTGGTATTTCAAATATCAGCAGGGTCACCTATGGTGGACAGGTTTCAGCAGAGCTTTCAGACTCAGACAGACTAGGAAGAAGGACCTGGCAATCTACTTCTAAAAAAACTGGGCAGTGAAAACTTTATAAATAGCAGTGGAACATGGTCTGATATAGTGCTGGAAGATGAGCCCCTCAGGTTGGAAGCCACTCGGAATACAGCTGGAGAAGAGCTGCCTTCTCAAAGTAGAGTTGATCTTGACGTGGATGGAGTCAAGCTTTTGGGACCTTCATTTGCTGATGTGGCATGACTCAAAATCAGAAGAAACAGCTGCAAACATCCATTAATAATCGGAACATAGACTGTACAAAGTATGACTAGGAAGATTGTCCAAAATGAAATGGAGCACATAAAGATCAATATTCCAGGCATTAGTGAGCTGAAATGGACTGGTATTGGCCATTTTGAATCAGACAATCATATGGTCTGCTGTGCTGGGAATGACAACTTGAAGAGGAATGGTGTTGTACTCACTGTCAAAAACAACATTTCAAGATCTATCCTGAAGTACAACCCTGTCAATGACAGGATAATATCCATATGCCCACAAGGAAGACCAGTTAACAGGACTTTTATTCAAATTTATGCACCAATCACTAAGGTCAAAGATGAAGAAATTGAAGATTTTTACCAACTTCTGCAGTCTGAAATTGATCAAATATGCAATCAGATGCATTGATAATTGGAATGTGAAAGTTGGAAACAAAGAAGAAGGATTGGTATTTGGAAAATATGCCGTTGGTGATAAAAACGATGCCAGAGATTAGAGATAGCATGATAGAGTTTTTCACGACCTACGACGTCTTTATCGCAAATACCTTCTTTCAGCAACATAAACAGCAACTACATACCTGAACCTCACCGGATGGAATACACAGGAATGAAATCGACTACATCTGTGGAAACAATGGAAAAGCTCAATGTCATCAGTGAGAATAAGGCCAGGAGCAGACTGAGGAACAGATCATCAATTGTTCATATGCAAGTTCAAGTTGAAACTGAAGAAAAGTAAAACAAGTCAGTGAGAGCCAAAGATGACCTTGAGTATATCCCACTTGAATATACAGACCATCTCAAGAATAGATTTGACACATTGAACACTAATGAGTGAAGACCAGACCAGTTGTGAGATGACATTAAGGACATTGTAATGAAGAAAGCAAAAGGTCATTAAAAAGTCAGGAATGAAAGAAAAGACCAGAATGGATGTCAGAAGAGACTCTGAAACTTGCTTTTGAACGTAGAGGAGCTAAAGTGAAGGAAAGAATGGGGAAGTAAAAGAACTGAAGATTTCAAAGGGTGACTCAAGAAGTCAAAGTGAAGTGTTATAATGAAATGTGCAAAGACCTGGAGTTAGAAAAGTAAAAGGGAAGAACACACTCGACATTTCTCAAGCTGAAAGAACTGCAGAAAATATTGAAGCCTTGAGTTGCAATATTGATAGAATTAGGGACAAAATATTGAATGGTACATGAATCATCAAATGAGATGGAAGGAATACACAGAGTCACTGTATCAAAAAGAATTGGTCGACGTTCAGCCATTTCAGGCGGTAGCATATGATCAATAACCAATGGTACTGAAGGAAGAAGTCTAAGCTGCACTGAAGGCACTGGTGAAAAAGAAGGCTCCAGGAATTGACTGAATACCAACTGAGATATTTCAGCAAGGGGATGCAGTGCTTGAAGTGCTTACTCATCTATGCCAAGAAATTTGGAAGAGCGTTACCTGGCAAACTGACTGGAAGAGGTCATATTTGTGCACATTCCAAAGAAAATAATCCAACAGAATGCAGATATTATCGAACAGTATCATTAATATCACACGCAAGTAAAATTTTGTTGCAGATCATTCAAAAATGGTTGCAGCAGTACATCGACAGGGAACTGCCAGAAATTCAAGTCAGTTTCAGAAGAGAATGTGGAACAAGGGATATCATTGCTGGATCTTGATGGATCAGATGGATCTTGGCTGAAAGCGGAAAATACCAGAAAGATGTTTACCTGTATTTTATTGACTATGCAAAGACATTCAACTGTGTGGATCATAAAATATTATGGATAACATTGCTAAGAATGTGAATTATAGAACACATAATTGTGCTCATGAGAAACCTGTACATAGACCAAGAGGCAGTCGTTCAAACAGAGCAGTGGGATACTGTGTGGTTTAAAATGAGGAAGGATGTGCGTCAGGCTTGTATCCTTTCACCATACTTATTCAGTGTCTATGCTGAGCAAATAATTCGAGAAGCTGGACTATTTGAAGAAGAATGCAGCATCAGGATTGGAGGAAGACTCATTAAAAACCTGCAATATGCAGATGATACAACCTTGCTTGCTGAAAGTGAAGAGAACTTGAAACACTTACTGATGAAGATCAAAGACTACAGCCTTCAGTATGGATTACACCTCAACATAAAGAAAACAATCATTCTCACAACTGGACCAATAAGCTATATCATGATAAACGAGAAAATACGGAAGTTGTCAGAGATTTCATTGTACTTGAATCCACAATCATCGCCCAGGCAAGCAATAGTGTAGAAATCAACATATTGTATTGGGCCAATCTGCTGCAAAAAACTTCTTTAAAGTGTTAAAAAGCAAAGATGTCACTTTGAGGACTAAGATACCCCTCACCCAAGCCATGATATTTTCAGTTGCCTCATATGCATGCGAAAACTGGACAATGAATAAGGAAGACTGAAGAAGAATTGTTGCCTTTGAATTGTGGTTTGGCGAAGAACATCGAGTATATCATGGACTGCCAGAATGAACAAAGCTGTCTTGTAAGAAGTACAGCCAGAGTGCTGCATAGAAGCGAGGATGGTGAGACTTTGTCTCCTGCACTTTGGACTTATCAGGATGGACCAGTCCCTGGAGAAGGACATCATGCTTGGTAAATTAGATGGTTAGCAAAAAAGAGGAAACCCTCAAAGAGACGAATTGACAAAGTGGCTGCAACAATGGGCTCACACATAGCAAAGATTGTGAGGATGGCGCAGGACAGGACAGCATTTCACTCTCTTGTAAATAGGTTCACTATGAGTGGGAACCAACTAGATAGCACCTAACAACAACAACACTAATAATCTGAAAGATTTATTTAAAGTAATTCCTTTAAGGCACTAACTTTGCATGTAGATAATTTAGTTTATGTTAAATTTTGGAATGAATAGGTTTTCAAATTCCTTAAATAATGTTATTCTATTATAATTAGTTTGAGGATTTCTAATACTACCCATTCTCACAAATTGATTGCATAGTTTAATATTTTAAAAATAAATCTACATTTAATTTTCTATAGATAACCTCAGGTGCTAGCCTCACATTGTTAGTCATTCATTCATTAGTCAACAGATATTTAATAAGGGTCTGTGAGGTGCCAGGCGTTGTTCCTAGTGCTTGTGATGTTCCTAGGGAATAAAACATTCTTTTATGTAATCGCTAGACCAGTGCTTGATATATTTGGAAACTTTTCTTCACTTAGAAATACATGAAAGCCAAGATTTTAATACCTTTTTTAGAGTAAATACGCTAGTCTTTTTTAGAGTCAAACTCCGTGTTTTAGTTTTGATTAGGTCTGTTGTCTTAACTCTTTTACAACTATATATCGAGGCTAGTCTTCTGCAAAGTCAAGGTGAAGTTTTTTCCCTTTGTCCTATCTTTGTTTCTTGTTAATTTAATTTTTTTCAAAGTTTGTAAAGGATGATATTTAATAAAGAACTTAGGTTAATTCATTGTTACAGTGCATTAAACATTGAGTCATTTAACTCTATAATACTCATAGTTCCAGGGAACCTTTTAACTCACTTCAGTGCCATAGATTTCCAGAACAAATCACAACATAATTGGTCATGTAGATCCTGTCATATGATTGTTGTTGTTGGGTGCTGTTGAGTTGCCTCCGACTCATGGTGACCATATGAAGAACAGAACGAAACACTGTTCCATCCTGCACCATCCTCAGTCGTTGCTATACTTAAGCCTGTTGCCGCTTCTGCTGCTATTCATAAGGTTTTCACTGGCCAATTTTTTTAGAAGTAGACTGCCAGGTCCTTCTTTCTAGTCTGTTTTAGTCCGAAAGCGCTGCTGAAACCTGTCCACCATTGGTAACCCTGCTGGTATTTGAAATACTGGTGGCATTGCTTCCAGCGTCACAGCAACATGCAAGCCACCACAGTACAACAAACTGACAGATGAGTAATGGCTCATATGTTTGAGTTTCATTAATTTTCTTTATAGAACACCTTAGATTAGGTTTAGAAAGATTTTGTTTTATTGAAGTGACTATTTTTCTCTCATTTTAAATTTAGATTATAAAGCTAATGGGAATGGAGAGAGCTTTATATTATAAGATATCTAAAATAAGAGTTCATGTCCATTTTTGGTTAGTAAAAAATCTTTTGTAAACTGAAAATAATACTAACTTCCATTTTATAAAATTAATATCTCTATTCTGGAAATTTTTCTTATTACGTTTTTGTAGTAACTATTATTTTTCTCCCGAGTTCTCTTAAATCTCAGAGCTAACACTGAGAGTATTTTTTGTATACTTAATACAGATGGCTTGTGTTCTGTGGTAGATATTTAGATTCTTTCTCCTTAGAGGGAAAATACTAATAATTATTCTTTTTTGCTAAAAGAACACCACTACCAAACTTATTTTTTCCCCTGATGATGAGCTAAGTTTAGTTTTACAGCTAAATTATTTAACAAGGGAGAAAATCTTATTTTTTTTAAAAAAATGACAGCACTTTGTGGATGTTTATGATTCGATGGTAAAGATCATGATGATCATGTTTTGCATTTACTTCACACACCACCTATATAGACCTAAAAATACTCTCAATTATAGTATTCCACAGTTGTGTAGAATATATTGGAATACAATGAATTAACTTTATAACTTGGCTACAAATTTTCATTCAGTATATTGCATAATGTTTAGATGAAACATCACAGTCCATGGTTCATCCTAAGGTTCATAAGTATCCTGAAGTGAATTGTTAAGTGCTAAAAATTGTGTGGTTCAGTCTCACTGACCAAATGGCATTTGAAGTTGATTTATCAATAAAGTGAGGTTGTGCACTGAAATGACCTTTATGTGCATGCCTTAGTGAAAGTTCAGTTTAATGAATTACCCCTGTTTGAAGATAAATGGGCTTGAACCAGCCATTTCCAAACTTAATTAGGTTAGTGCAGAAAAAATTATTCATGTAGATATTTTACTATTTAAAATTAACATTAACTTTATACAGAGTAAGTTCGAGTTTCAAAGTGCAAGGTCAGAGTTTTGTGTTAAATTGAGGTGAAAATTAGCCCATGACTACCATCAGCTCAATTATTGCTCTCATCTCTTAATCATTTATATTTTTCATTGCCATTGTTTTGTGTTTTTTCCTTGAATATTCTGGTGGTATGTTATTTTTAAAGTCAACTTTTCAGGATGTTCAGGTAGAACTTTATTCAGTTATTCATAGTTACCTTGATTTGTAACCCCTTTAAAAATTCTTGAACAGCATTATAATGTAAAAAACCACATTTTTATCTTCTGATGATAAGTACTTTGTTTCATTTTTAAAGTGATTACTCTGGAATTCAAAGTGGCAACCTGCCATTGCTTTAAAAATTGACTCAGTTCCTTGGTAACGAGACTAAGTCAAGTAGAAAAAGAAGCAATGATCAGCACCTAGTGGAAAGTCTACAGCTACAGGTTTTTTCATTAAGATAAATACATGTCCATTTCCATAACCATTACGAGATTCTCTAAGGTCTCAGTGACTATAAGAGGCACTTTTATTTGTGCATATTTAGAGGTACTCTTTGGTAATTGTATGACTGTAACCTCTGTGGCCTCTTGTTTATTTTTACACTGACAGCTTTGCTTTTTAATTTTTTTGTTGTTGTTGTTCTTATCACCATTTTCTATTTTTAGCCACGTTAACTGAGAGATCCTTCTGTTAGCATATAATGTTTCTAGGTAAAAGGAAATTTTTATTCTCAGGTTAGATTTTCCCATCACTCATCCATTTCTCTTACCCTCTGATGTCAGTCATGCTCCTTGTCATCGTAATTTGCTTTCTCTGGGCATTGCATGCAGTGGAAACTTATGTGGTTGTGTTATACTTCATACCTCTCCATTTGCATTCTTATACGCTAGTAATAAAGTTACAGTCATGTCACTTCAGTTCTTAGCATTGTGTGATTCTTTTAAAATTCTTTATAATTGTGCATTACTCTTCAACATATACTTTCTGAACCAGGTAAGTATTATAACTATTAAAAGGATGCATTATTTATTTAAATGCCTTTTATTTGAAGGAAGTCACTGATGGCGATACTTGATAAGATTTGTTCTTCCACAAGTTCATTCATTCCTTTACTTACTTCGTGCCTGCAGTGTGCCAGGGTCTTTTGTATATGCTAGGGATGTTATCAGGAGAGACCTCTTCCTAGAGAAGGACATCATGCTTGGTTAGGTGGAGGGTCAGCGAAAAAGAGGAAGACCCTCGACAAGATGGATTAACACAGTGGCTGCAAGAACAGGCTCAAACATAGCAATGATTCTAAGGATGGCGCAGGACCAGGCAGTGTTTCATCTGTTGTACAGAGGGTTACTCTAGGTTGAAACCAACTTGATGGCACCTAATAACAATAGGGATATAGCTACATACAAAACAGAAAAATTCATCTTTCCTGGACTTATTCTGGTGGAGGGAGCAGATGGTGAATAAACAGATACAAAAACAAATAAAGTAAAACCTACAGTATGTTAGCTGGTGATATCTGCTGGGGAGAAAAATAAAACAGGGAGAGGAATTAGGGAGTTCTTTGGGAGGCATTTACGATTTTAAATGGGGTAGTCAGGGAAGGCTTCACTGAGAAAGTGATATTTTTTTCTGAAGTGCTGTGGCTATGCTCCTCTTGCTGAAATAATTGCCATTTGTCCTCTGTTTACACAAATGGCTAAGCATCTATTACTGAAACCACTCCGACAGTTTTAGAAATAGAGGTATTTTATTTCTTGTCTCTTCCAGGCATAGTGACTAGGAACATTTAGACTCCAGGGCATTTTTTTTTTCTTTTTTCTTTATTTTAATTGTACTTCAGGTGAAGGCTTACAGAACAAATAGTTTCTCGTGAAACGGTAGTCAACATATTGTTTTATGACTGGTTAACAACCCCACAACATGTCAACCCTCTCCCTTCTCGACCTTTTTTTTTTTTTCCCCCTTTTATTGTACTTCAGGTGAAGGCTTACAGAACAGATAGTTTCTCATGGAACAGTAGTACACGTGTTGTTTTATGACATTGGTTAACAACCACACAACATGTCAACCCTCTAACTTCTCAACCTTTTTGACCTTTTTTTTTTTGTGAAAATATACATAGCCAAAGATACACCATTTCAAAAATTTCTACATGCACAGTTCAGTGACATCGACTGCGCTCTTCCAGTTGTGCTGCTATTCTCACTTTAAATGAAGGCTTACAGAACAAAATAGTTTCTCCTTTAACAGTTAGTACACATGTTGCCCTATGATGATGGTTAACAACCTCACAACACATCAATACTATCCTTACTCAACCTTGGGCTCCCTATCACCAGCTTCCCTGTCCCCTTTTGACCAGGGCATTTTTTGGTATCTAGAGTTTTCATGTATTTCTTATTTTGATAACTGTATGAATATGTACTGTTGATGAAATGAAGAGCTGTTGCATTACACAGCGTGTGTTGACCTTCTCTGCAGTGGGAGGGGAGGAAGTGTGTATACCAGCCATCATGACTCTTCAGCCTCTGGCTCTGACCCAGCGGTTGCTGCACAGAGGCTTCCATTCCCAGTTACTGGCCATTGCTGATGCCGAATACCACTCATGTGTGCCACGGCATATTCCTCCTAAAAATCTTGTGACTCTTTCACACAGAAATCATACATCATCCAATTAAAAACCTACATATTAAGGACAATCAAATTGGATAAAAATGTTTACTTTTCATCCCATAAATAGCTAGTACATAAAGTGAGGTTATTGGAGTACATGAATAATGTTGCTTCATGAATTAGTGGTTATATAAGCTTATGCTCGCCCTCTGAATGAAATTTGAAAGTCCATTTACATGCAAGAGTAGATGGTTGAGGGGTTTGGAATTTGTAAGTAGTCTTCCCTCCCAGCTTTTAAAAGTTTAGTAATATTCATGCAAAATATATGATTTTCCAACAGATCTACTTTCCAGTTGGGTTTTTCTATCATAGGTAAAATATACTTCTCTTACAGAATTATAGACTAAATAGCAGTGTGACCATGGGCAACTTATTAAATTCTCTAAGCCTCAATTTCTTCAACTGTAAAATGATTATAATAGTTATACCTGCTTTAATGGTAGTGTTGTGATTAAAGGAGATAATTTTTTAAAGTTATTTAACACAGTGTCTAACCCATGGGAAGCACTTAAAAATTATTCTTATATATTCTTACACATAGTCTTAATATCATGCTAAATATACAATATAGGGAGACATGTTAATATTCTGTTTCACATTTTTATATTTAAATTATCTGTCACAAACTTTTTGCTTATCCACCTAGTATGTAATTGTTAACCTCTAATGGATGTATTAATTTTATATTAAAGGTTTTTTTTCCTTCTATAATTCTGTAATAACCACTCTATAATTTATAATAACTTTTAGTTCTTTTCTCATTTATATCTGTCCTGATTAAAAAACACTTATTTATTATTTAATTTTTTTTTTTTTTTAATTACAGGTAGATGCTACTGAGAGTGAACCAAAGAGTTTTATCTTTATGAGTGAGGATGCTTTGACAAATCCACAGAAACTGATGGTTTTAATTCATGGTAGTGGTGTTGTCAGGGCAGGTCAGTGGGCTAGAAGGCTTATTATAAATGAAGATCTGGACAGTGGCACACAGATCCCTTTTATTAAGAGAGCTATGGAGGTAAGTGCAATTTCTTTTATATATTTTTGTTTAGATTTTATAGTCCTGTTTTATTATGTGTTATAAATTATTTTATCATGTGTCTTCAAAAAGTATATCCTAAGCATAACCTTGTCTTTAAATTGTTATTCATTGTTCTGCTTGTATGAAAGATTATTCTGCATTATCTTGTAGTTATAAGAAAAACAAAGTGGCATCTTGAGAGTACGAAGATTTAGATATATCTTTGAAATGAATGTTTTTGATTCTGAATTTTTTTTGTTTTTATTACATGAAATATCAGTTAAAATATCAAATGTTTATCATCATCATTGAAAACACTTCTGACAAAAATACCACTAATGCTTTTGTAAACCTTTGCCTACCTAATTCAGTGAAGTTAGAAAGTAAAGGAGATATTCTACTTTAAATTAATCTCTTATTTAAAAGAAAAGTTGGAATAACTCAGGGTTTTTTGGTCATTTCTGTAAAAAATTCTTTAGAGCCCACAAACTAGATGCTTTAAGCATAAGATGTAGCCATTCAAAATAATAAATTACATGTTTACTGAATAACTTTATTACTATTTGAATACAATTTTTTTTAAATGGACATTTTAAAATTATATTCAAGGTTTTCTTTCTTGTGATAGTGGAATTGGTTTTTTTCACTATTGTTTCATCTGAAGGTTTGGACACTTGTATTTTGCTCTCTCATTCTTAAGTTCTGAAAAGACCAACCAAATGTTGCAAAGTATAGGTTTCTTTCACATGTGTGTAGAAATTTTCCTCAGAAAATATTATAAAGTGGCATCTTTATAAAAGATTTAATGTAAAAATATAAAATATGTGTATGTATGCATTCTGTATAAGAGCTGTAGTCTTACATTTTTCTAGTTAAATTTGCAAAGGAAATGTTTGATACACTGGTGACTGCAGAGGTCAGTGATGATATGTCTGTTCTCTGCTCTTAACTGAAATCATATCATGGCTCAACTCGTAAGAATATTTTTGTTAATAGATTTCTTAGGTTAATTATACATGTATTATTTCAGTCTTCATGGATGTGCAAAGTATATAAAGACATTACTTTTGGTTTGGCTGTAGTAGTAGTAGTGCATTTTTAATAGAATTGCAGTTTAGACTGAAGTAACTCACATTAAATATTTTATTTTTTAAACTGTTTTCTATTTCAGATTATGGGTAGTGATGGGTAGTGAAATGAACTTTCTCTCTGACACATTAGTTTAACAAATGTTGTCCATGTATTTTAAGTAAAATATTATATATGAAATGTGATCAGAGTTCAGAGAATAATTGAAAATAGAACTGAGTAAAGAAAAATTAGATGTTTGTAATATATGAGTGCTTGGTGAAATATTTTATGTAATTATGTTGTCCCTGCTACTAGATCACCTAAGCTTTTTGCATTGTAGAATATTTTATTGTTGCATAAGTTTTATGAAGTGAAAGTGTACATGGGAAGCCATGCCAAACATTGTTCTTCATATAGACGATCTATTGATATCCCAAACAGGAGGAAGGAAATTTTTCAGTAACATTTGAATAGTCAGTCGTTTTGTTCTTATAAGTAATAATAGTGTTTTGGGGATAACAGTTTTTCACTGCCTTGACTTCTTCTTGATTATCTCAATCATGGTAACTGGTGAGTCCTTGAAAAAAAGCAATTGATGACTAAACCTTCGTGGTGTACTTTGAAAATTTTAGTTTATGCACTTCATTCTGCTTATGTTTCTTTACATAAATATGAACTTTATTGTGATAACTTTCTACATAGTGGACATTTAAAAATGGGTATCTCTTTTAAATCCAGATAAAGTTATTTTACTATCCTGGCTTTACCTTTTCACTGCTGTTTTCTCAGTCAGTTCTTTAAGGGCTGCTCTGTGTTTGAGTGTGTTGGGGTATTACTTAGGGACCAGGCAGAAGGAAGACTAATGGGTAGAAAAAAGCTGTCCCATTCTTAATTTTTAATCAGGTTAGTTTTGCTTTGGTTTTTATTTTTTGTGCTTTTTTCTTAAGTTGTATTTAAGGAAAGGTTTTCATTGTTTTCAAAGAGTTCAAAGCCACTACTCTGTTTTTCATGGTCTGTCAGTTTGCATATCACAGCTGAAGCAAATTCTGATATTTCAGGCCAGACAATATCATCCCTACTCGTAGTGTTAATAATATTTCTGTTGTATTCCTTGCGGATTTTTGGTGTCAGATTGAAGGTCCTTAAATCGGATTAACCCTAGTTGCAAGGTTATGGTTGCAAGGTTATAGCTGTTGCTTTTTCTCTAACAGTAGAACCCTGTTGTTAAGTGGACTGTTGTACAAAAAGTACTAGGTTTAAGTCTGTGTAGTGGCCTTGATTAAAGCTGGGGTGAGGTTTGAAACCACCCCTATAACAGCCCCTGAGATTTCTCCCCAGAGCCCCTAGGACTCCATAGATCACAGTTTGAAAAGCACAGGTATTCCAGTTCTTGCATTCTAGGTACTTCAGAACTTTATTATCACAAATTATTAAAATTTCATGTTACAGGAATGGTGCATATCAGATAAAGCCCTACAAGTGATTCTGAGGCTGTCATAGCTAATATTTTAAGTGTTTAACAGTCTTCATTGCATAATATATTACTTGGAGTAAGAAACAGTATACCATGTAGCTAAGTACTAATTATTCAGTGTCTGTGCAGTTTGAGCGTTACGCAGATTTGTTTCTTCTTTGATCTTTTCTTATATGCATCTTTTTAGGCCTTTCAGTTGGTCTCTATAAAAAGGGCAAGGAAAGTAGGTGAAACTTAAGTCATTTCATTACTAATAGCATAGCTGGGACAAGGGCGTAAAATTTAGGAGATGCTCACACTCAAGGTTGTGCACTTTTCTACTTGTATGACCCCTAGAGTGAGTGCCTCCTAAATTTTGTGCCCTAGGTGCCTCACTGACCTCACCCTAGTCCTGACTTTGACTAATTGAGATGCCCTGTCAACAAGGTTTATGGAGAGCAGTTTGGGAGCCAATAGTCTATAGAGTCAAACTTAGGGGTGTGTCAGAAAACCTGGAGAGCTTGTCCTGCCCCATCACCAGAGTTTGGATTCAGAAGGTCTAGTTGGAGCCTCAGAATTTACATTCTAACAGTTTCTGAAGTGATGCTGATACTGCTAGTCCTGGCACCACACTGAGAACCGCTAGTGTAGGCAGTACTCTTTGGGCTGGTTGAGGGTTTATTTATACTTGCAGGTACCAAGTATAATGGATACTGTAGAACTTGATGGCAATTATATTTAGTAAGGCAAGAATTGAAAGTTCTAAAAAAATGTGTTATAGTAAAATCATTGAAAAAGTAAAAGTTTATGAAGAATATTTTCAAAACGCTGTCTTTGAGTGATTCATACCCAATATGGCTTAAAATTTGCTAATTTTAATAATTTCATTAGTAGTCCGATTCCCTCACTAAAACAACATTTTTTTCTGCTTTCTCATAGCTGGATTATTCAGAAGAATCTGCTATTCCCATAATTACCTACTTTGAGTATTATTTTTATATCATTATGTCTGATTTTTAAAAATTAATACACCTACTCCTCACTTTTCGGCTGTTGCTATCCGAAATTTTTCATTTATGACAGTAGTAAAAAAGCTACTATCCAACTATTTTGTGCATTAACAATGTTCGTCTGTCAGTAATGAATGCTGAGGTGAGAGGTGACAGTAATGCTGACTATGTTGGTTAAGGTTCTGTGTCAACTTGGTTGGGCCATAATTCTCAGTGGTTTGACAGTTACGTGATGATAGAATTTGGCGCCTATGTAACGATGTAATTTGGCAGTTATATAATGATATAGTCATCCTCCATTTTGTGATCTGATGTACTCGTCCTCCATTTTCACATAATGCTGATTTTCACATAATGACCTGGTCTTTGGGCCCTAACTATGTCGATAAGTGAAGAGCAGATGTACTCAGTTTTATTAAGGTAATTTATACAGTTTGGGTTCTAGTAACATTACTGGACTACCTAATTAATACGCACTTCCCCCTCCCATGAAACACACTTTGAAATGATAAAATATATCAACAACAAAAATATTAAATGTCTTTTTGAGTTCAAAACAAAGAAAAGGAATCCCCAAATGCCTGAATATAAGAGAGAACTTAAAGCCGGAGTGAAAAGCCCATGGAGGGTGTGGCAACTCAAGGGAATAGCTAATGAGATATAAGCCCTAAGGCACATAGGGTCTAGGTCAGAGTCTTTGGGCCTGAGAGGTATGAGCTGAAGCTAAGACTCTGATACAGCTGGAACCTTGGAAGGTGCTTCCTTTTAATAAAAGGGGACCTGGAAAAAATAAGGAAGAAAGGCCTGGCAATCTGTTTCTGAAAATCAGCCAGTGAAAACCCTATGGACCACAACAGTTCAGTCCACAATGGATCATTAGAATGGTGTAGGATCAAGCAGTGTTTAGTTCCATTGTGCATGGGGTCTCCATGAATTGGGGACAGACTCCATGACAACTAACAACAATAACAGGAAGACAGAATTAGCTTACTGACCAGAGGTGACAGAAGGAATGTTTTTTTTTTTTTTTGCCAGAGGTACCAGATGGGGTAAATAAACTGCCTCTCTTGGGAAATAGAAGCCCCAGACCCTAACCCATAGTGAATTTGGATTTGTGGTTGAATTTATATATAAACCATTTAGTGTGAGAATCTCAAGCAAAGTCAGTTAATTTAAAAATGATTTCTGAACTGACGAAACCTCTGTGGTATCTGCTAGAAATAAACATAAAACTGCCATATAGCAAAACTTATCCAACCCAGGATATATCCTTACAGAAGATGAATTGATAGAAACTTCAAATTATAAGAAGAAATGATTCATCACAAAGAAGAGTCAGTTCATGCAATTATTACACATAGTTGAAGAGAGAATTTGTAAATTGAAAACTGCAGTTGAGGAAATTACCTAGAGTACAGCACAGAGAAATTAGAAAAAAATATGATAGATAAGAAATCATGGAG